AACTTTTTAGACATTAAGTATGTCTTAGCTCATCACCTACATATCGTTGCTGTCCAAAGAAAACCGTGTATCTCCATTTTTTTTTGTCGAGAATATTTTTCTACATCCTTTCAACATACCAGCTGTCCTTTACGTTGTGTGAAAATTTCACGATGAATGGACCAATAGAAATGCTCCAGAATCACTTGGAATAAAATCTCTTTACATTACCTTACATTAAAAGGTAAGCGTGTTTTTGTGTTCTCCTGTAAAGTTGCTATTTTGGAGATGGTTGTTTTTCTTGGGACAGCAACGATATGTGGTTAGAGGAAAAATGTCTAAATATCTTTCTTTTTGTCTTTACAGCTCTCTGACTGCCTGACTGTGTATATTTGGTGCAGGTCAGAGGTATATGAGAGAGAGTGTGTTTCCTGTCAGTAGCTGCATGTTCTCTGTCCAAGGCTGCATGTTTAAGGTGGATAATCCTCCTGTCCTGGCGAAAGAAGAGGCACAAGGATACTTTATTTAAAGTGCCATCTATACAGGTCTGCTACATGTCTCATTCCACTCAGGACATATAGTTGTATGGTCAGAAAGTGCATGCTTCAGTTCATTTCATTAACAGAACACAATCTAATCTCAGAAGTGTAAGCACTTATTTATTATTTATACAGTATTGTGCAAAAGTCAGAGAGCACCCTTTATTTCATTCCTAGTTATTTAATAACTGAATTAATCATTTCTAATTATTTAATTTCTCTGGAAATATATATATATATATATATATAGATAGATAGATAGATAGATAGATAGATAGACAATCTACTTGCATAGGGAAGGGGGTAATTAAAGAAAAATAAGAGATAAATAAAATAAAAAAATTATGAAAATATATAGAGAAAATGGGACCCCTAACAACCATGCAAGACCTGGTAGACCACCAAAACTGTCACCAAGCCCCACTCTTGCTTCAGATCTGAAAAAATTCATGTGTCTGTCCATAATGGAAGCTGTAATAAAGACAAAGGGTGAACACTAAGTGCTGGAAATGCTTCTGTGTAATGGTCTGTTAAATGTATGTTTTATGCTTTTTTTCTGACGCTGAAAAATGAGTTGCACTCATTGGCTTTTGACTAAAAATGAAATAAGTGAAGGGTGGTCTCTGACCTTTGCACAGCAAGATATATATTTATTCATTTTAGAGATTGAAAGGCTGTCCAGAATGGGAGAGAGTGTTAATGTTCAGTTTCTTTCTGCTGGGGTTAGATTTGATTTTCTTCCCTTTGAACTCAAACTCTATAATTTTTTTACCAGGCGAGCCTAAACCGTTGCATATGACTATACCTTACATAGCTATAGCAAAACACATATTTTACTTATATTTATTTTATCTTATATTTATTTTGGTACCATAGCAATTACATAAAACAATGACAAACTTAATCTTTCCACAGAATGACTGTTGAAGATTTATGGCTGTAGATTGTAATTACTTTAGTATTTCTCCAACAGCTGAACAAATTTAGATGGTGCAGCCTGTCAGGAGAGAAAACAAAGGTGAGATTCTGCTTTCCTTACTGAGCTCATTCAGATGCAGATTTTATTATCTCAGAGTTCAGTTCAGTCGTAAGGTTCTGTTTGACCTTTGACATTAATGGAATTTTATTCCCGCATGACAGACACAAGGGGGCAATATAGCTATTCTCTTCAGCAGTCATCCTCTGTGGTATGTTTCCACCCTCATACATTGTACCATGTTTGGCTGCATTGTCGTTTAAGACTGATAGCGTCAAAGCTTTCCTGGTGATAGAGAAAAAAACAAACTGTAAAGGAACTGCAGAATCGTGCAAATGTTGGTGTGTTTACCCTCCAGCTCCGAAACAAATAGTAGTCCATCATTCTCACTCGCCCCATGCATAATTCAGTCCGTCAATTAGAACTCACTCTGGCTCTTGTTTCCCTGTTTGATTTGAGGTTTCTGCCTTTTCTCCAGAAAAAGGAAGATCAAACTTAAACTCTGGAGGAATTCTGTGGTATTTCCTCTAACGCTTCTGGCAGTGGTTCATGAGCTGATTTGTTATCTTCTTCTCCAGATGTTGCATTTGCATATTTCAGCTTGTCTTTTCAAGAGATGGTACCCTCACGAATGTCCTGTCTTCCTCACTGGCACCACCTTAGACTCCAGAGAGTAGTAAACCTAGTCTTCTACCTCTGGGTGAGACTGCAGGCTTCTTCATAAAGGTGGTAAAATATAAGCTAGGTAACACTTTACTTTGATAGTCCATTGTGGGTGCTTTATAGGTGCTCGCCTTGTCTGTAAATGACATTCAACAAAATATGACTATACTTATGATGTTCATTTAATACATTTACACTTTTACATGATGGCTGTGACCAAATAGGCCACACTGCCTTAGTGTCCCTTTGGGTGTGCTGCAGACAAGTCATGCTGCTGTGGAGGAACGGCTGACAGTGTTGTGTTGAAACAGAAAAGCAGCTGGAAAAGCAAGAGACGTTACTGCAGGGGTTAAAAAGGTAACTGACTATTCAGTATGTGTTACAAGCGTGTCTAAAGTAATGCACACTCGACCCTTTGTGTGCCAGGCTCTTTAACTGAGCACTTTCAAAGGTGCTGCAACCTTTGAGACAGTTTAGCAGCATCTTTTATTTACTTCTGAGGGTCTCTGCTGGGGCAGCATGCATATATCTAGCTCCTTTATAGCTGCGGAAATGTGCTTGTCCTACACAGAGTATTATACATGATTGCTTTGTTCATGTCCCCTGTGAAGTTCACTCTGCTGTTGGAAAAGAGGTACGCAGAGTATGTAAGCGACGTATTGAGGAAGTCTTCACTACAGACACATACTTTTTCCTCTGGACCACCATACAGAAGCAGCAGGGGCAAGTATATGAATCAACATTTAGACTGTGCTAATTAACAGGACATTTTTGACGCAGGAGTTGCACCACACCATAGTTTGCTTCAGAAAAAAAAACTTTCTCATCTGTTTCTCTTTCTCTGACTCAATTCACTCAACTGAGACGCTCTCTATAGCGTCCAGTGACTAACTAAACTCACTTTCAGCCCTGCATAAGGCCTAGATCAGGGGTGCACAAATCCGCTCCTGGAGGGCTGGTGTCCAGCACAGTTTGGTGACTTGACCTGCTTAAATACATCTGATTCAACTGATCTGTTAATTGCCAGGTTTAGTGGATGTGTTTAAGTAGGGCAACTACCAAACTGTGCTGGACACCGGCCCTCCAAGACCAAAGTTGTGCACCTCTGGCCTAGGTCAAAGATACCATGTAATGCAGTGTCAAAAAACATTTTCATGACCAGTGTCAGTTTTTATTTTAACCCTGCACAGTTCACATAATATGTTAACATTGAAGAGCTCGTACCCTACATCAGTGGTTCCCAACCCTGGTCCTGGAGGACCAAAACACACCCACTTCACCCACACCCAGGGCAGGGGGGTCCTCCAGGACCAGGGTTAGGAACCACTGCCCTACATTTTTCTTGTATTTTATTTATTTCCATGAGGTCCACTTATCATGTTGGTGTAGTTTTATGTACCAAAAATGGTGATAATTAATTTTTACTTCACCATTTTTTAACCTTTCTTTCTCCCTTAAAATTAAACAGGCAGTGCCTTTAAGACTGATACACAGTTGTAACACTCTGGTCAAATTATGTTTTGTTGATTTTCCAAGTAAAAAAATAAGTTAACACTTCCTCTACATGGAACAAATTCAAATATTGATTTTCTGTAAATTTTAGTGCATAATTTCTGTTAAACATATTGGAAAAAAAAATACACGTAAAATATAAATTGTGCCATAACTTGTGTTGTTAGCACATTTGATGTTTTTTTTTTCCTATATGTTAAATTTAGTAAATAAACAGTAATTGTGTATTAAAATGTGCAGAAGTGTGTTCTCTGCAGAGCACATGTTCCCAGCCTTGGTCCTGCAGAACCCCCTGCCCTGCGCAATTTAGTTTTTTCCCAGCTCCCAGCACACCCACCTCCAAGTGAAGAAGAGCTTAATGAGCTGATTAGTTGGATCCCGTGTGTTAGGCTTGTTCAGACTGCCAGCTCAAGTCCGATTTTTGGCATATCCACATTGCATCTGCAGTGATTTTTGACAGTCTGGGCAGCAAAAAACTACATGAAATCCGTTTTTTGTAAATTGGATCCAAATCACATTTGGAGGTGGTTTATTATATGATTTCAGTCGGACCTTTACAGATGGCCGCCCAAATCGGATTTGAAAGTATCTTTTGTGTCACTTGTGACACGACCTACAACGACAATGTCAAATCCAGAATGACGGAAGTGTTGGGATTCAAGAAGAGCACCAAAGGGAAACAGTAAAATGTGCAGGGCAGGGGATGCTGCAAGACCAGGGTTGAGAACTACTGCTGTGGAAAATGTGTAGCTGTTTTCACTTAGTAAAAACCAGGGGTGGCCAAACTTTTCTATATATCTTTATGTAAATGACCTCTGTTCTGATTGGATGTCCTGTATTGTGCCTCATTCAGAATGCATTCCAGGCTGAAACACTCCTTATAACTTAAGTGTGACTAAGTGGGGCTGCACTGCTGTGGGCTGACAAGGGTAAATTTACTGGTTGTTGTGACAGCAATGTAATGGACTGTATGGACTGGGGAGTGAACGTTTTGAAACATTAACAATGTTTACATACTACATGAAACTTTTGTATTAAAAAGGGAGAAAAGATCGGTTTTGCATTATATAGCCCCTTTAACAGCGAGCCATTGCTGGAGTTGCTGAAACTCTCCTCAATTCCTGTTTGGGGTCAGAGTGCAGTTTAGGCCAGCTAAGCAATTAGTAAATCCAATTTTGGGTTCCAGGTTTGAATGTCCAAGCCGCCAAAACATATCTGAAATAAAACTCACTCCCATTATGGATACAAAGCAATCCATTTTTATTAAATATGTATGAACTTGTTAGGAAATATGACACTTCTGAGTACACATTCACACTCCAGCTGTAAGTGGAAATCCAACATCTATCCCTTTTTTTTTTTTAGTCTTTCTTCTTTTTGAAGTCTGAATTGTTTTTTTAGCGATGATGAGAATGGCACTTTAGTGATTCCCTGGCTGGCTGACTAATGCATAATGCATGTACAAAGTTATCACAGTCCTTACCCTCCTACTTGCTATGTACTCAAAGCACCACTGGTGCAAGTATTTACAGGCAATGTACATTTTTTTATTTGTCTGTTATTGCTGTTATATCTGAAACACAAACAAGACAACTGAAATGAAAACTCCTGCCTCTCCTTCTTCAAACAGGGCCCAGCAGCACGACAAGGCATGACTGACCTGAGGTCAGTGGAAATTTCCCTCAGTTCTTCAAACTGCTGACTCTACAGGAACACTGTAGGAACAGGCCTGACTATCAAAGGTGGAGGTGACCACAGAAAGTAGCAAACAGCATTCAAACTAAAAATACTGGCCACAGGTCAGCTTCAAGGATATCAATAATAATAAACGAATAACGACTAAACAGTACACAGTCATTATAACAGAATGCTGGTGTAAGAGAAAAGGAAAGCAGACTGCTTTTGAACCTTTCGAGGAGCAGAGTGCTACTCATAGCCACAGGTTCTAGCTATACCTTCTGGTACCAAGGTATTTTTGAGCCAACTTGTTTGCAGTCCACAGCAAAGTAAATAGCCAACAGACAAACGAGAGAGAAGAAAAAACAAACAGTTCATAACTGCATTATAAACTAAAACGAGTTATTTACAGCTGTAAGAGTATAGAAAACTACTGTACCAGGACTTTTGAAAAGATAAATACAAGAATATTTAAATCAACTTCCTTAAAAACAATAAAACAAAAACTATATAAGCTATGCTCACAAGTGGCTTTTTTTTTAACAGTGCTATTTTCCAGCCCTTTCCAAAGTCCACAAGATGAGATTTGCTGGTGTTTCAGAGGAAAAATAAATACTGGCTTGAGTCCTCTTCTGCATGTGGTAACATTGTCTTCTCTTAAGGGAGCAGCTGGACTTTAAACCTGTGAAACAGAACAGAATTACATACACAGTATATGCATATGAACACGCCAAATACTTTTCACTAATGGTGAGGACACTGTTATGCATGCAGGTGCTTTGGCTGGGTGGTGGGAGCAGTCATATGAGAGCAGAAGCAGAACTTACGGCAGCAGTGGTTACAGCGAGCGCTCACACTATAGTGGATGGGCCTATAACCTGAGCACCTTTCTGTTGGGGAAGGAGATGGGGAGTGTGTATTATTACAGTGTTATAGGCTATTTTTTAGTGGTCTATGATAGTGTTTAACTGCTTATTAGGATCGTATGAGCTCATAGTATCATCATAAATGTTAGATATAAGGCAGATTTTGCAGAAACAGATTAAGCCTAATACAAACAGAATTTGCAATAGAAAGACCTATAGCCATATAAATTTACTCGGCTTAATACTGTGTTTGGAAAACCAGCCATTAGGTTTCTGTAGGTGAGTGACATTAAGCTTCAGAAAAGATAGCATAGTTTATGCAAATGCCCCAGATACACATTGTGTGAACTTAAGACTTAAATTGACTTTTTTGTACAAAGTTTAAAGTCCAAACTAAATTTCCAGTTGACACAGATTGTCTGATAGCAGGCAGTCATTTATCTTTGTCTTCCAAATGTACAGTACTGTGCCAAAGTCAGAGAACACCATCATTTATTTAGTTTCCAGACAGTCAGTAACCACTAGCTGTTCATTCAAAAGCAGAAAACACTTTAAACAGAAAATGTCACAGAAGCCGACTAAAAATAATTTTACGCTTTAAGTATTTAATGTGTCTACCATTTGCCTTTCTTACAGCTTTGTGTAATGAATTTCCCTTCAATTCCTTTTCAGTTTTTCAAAGAAATCTGCAGGGAATGGGTTCTTCACAGCTACTTAACCTTTCAGACTGTCTTCTCACAGTAGAAGGAGTTTGATTTTCTCCTGTCTCGCAAAGAAGAAAGCTTTACATACTGTTTGCCTGATGGTGACAGTTTTGGTGGTCTAGCAGGTCTTGCATGGTTGTCAGGAGTCTAATTTTCTATATATCAATCATTTTTGAACTCTAATTTGGGAACTCCTGTATTTTCACTTATTTTCCTTATGCAACTGAAATGTCTCTGAAAAATGAATGTTTTACTTAATGGCTGTTTTGACTGGAAATCAAATAAATGAAGGGTGGTCTCTGATGTTTATGCAGTTCTGTAAGTATTTACTGAGATGTTTAAAAAGAAGAGATGCAGAGGGAGAACTTCAGACAACCCACCACAGCAGGCGCTCACTGTGTGGGGGAAAAACATCCAACGGAATTCAACGGAAAAAAGTTGTACTTCTAATTCTGAATGGCTTAAAATTCAAGATTCAGTCAGAATGGTGTGTTTTATATTAACATGTTTCAGAGCAGAGATCCAGCTAATAAAGAAACACTTAAGAAACAGGAGAAGTACAGTTCTTGCCATCATCTTCTGTTGGATCTGGAACAGTTGGACTGTATTTCAAAGTCTTAAAAGGTGTCCTTGACAAATAAAAACGCACACAGATACTGACCGCTGAAATGTACTGGCTGTTAAAGTGTGGTTTGAGATCGGAGGGGGAGGCAATGGAGGAGTAGCAGGAGGTGTCACAAGGAGAGCTGGGCTCCTCAGATAGAGCCTCAGGGAGGTGACTGGACACACAGCCGCTATCTGAACCACTTGAGCCACTGCCCGACAGACAGTGTGAGGAAGATCCTGAGCTCTCAGTAGCTAAAAAAAACACAGTCAACACTATTCATTTTCAATATATAAATTATACTGGAACTGTAATATACCAAAAACGCTCTTCATATTTTTACGCTCTTGTATTTAATACACACTCTGCAAGCTATCCTGCTTCCTAGCTGACGATACCTACCATTCAAAAGATAGTCTCAGTAAATTTGTTTTCTGTGTTCTTTTATTTACATGACAAAATCCCAAATATGGTCAGAATTCCAACTATGTTATGTCCCTTGGTCATGTCTCATTTGAGAATGGTCAAAAAAATTCATTTTACAAATTCTCTCTCAACTCCCCTGATAAAATAATATAAAGTAAAATAAAAAAGAAAGTATGTAGACTGACTCTGCTTGGTGACAGGGTCTACATGGTGACCCTCACTTTACACTTTTACACAGTCCACTGTTATAAATTTCCAGGAAATTTGTATTTTTTTCCAGGACATTTTAGCAATTTTCCCATTTTCCATGTGTTTTCCAAGACTGGAAGACTAGTATGTATATATAAGTCTTATATACTTGCTGTATATAAGACTAGTATGTATATATTTTCTAGGACATGTTGAAACCCTTTCTGTTATTATACTAAATGGGTTAAATGTATTGGCATAGAGGTAGACACTCAGCGGACCAAGTACTCTGTTGCCATATTGCTAAGATACTAAAGTACCTACTCATAGAGGGCTGACTGCTGGTCTCGTGCTCCAGCTCGTCCTCCTCGATGCAGGGACTGATGAGGGGTCTGTCCCCTGGCAGCAGTGTCTGACTGCTGTACATGTGGAGGTTCAGGGGCCCCAGCAGCGTGGAAGAGGAAGGCCCACTTGCCACTGGGGGGCCACTTACAGGCGCGCTGACAGGAGCTCTTTTAAACGGATTGGAGTGATCAAACAGGGAGACGGCAATGGAAGCCCTCGTCCTGGCTCCTGCAGCAATGAAGAGTGAGTGTTTGTATATGTGGATCATAAGCATTGCTTGATGTGGTCAGAATTGTAGGCCTTGTGGTATCGTAAATGTTAGTTACAGGGCAGCCTGCCCAGAAACAGATTAAGCCTAGTTGCAGACAATAAAAAAAAGAGTCTGCAATAAAGTATTTACCAAAAGTAAAATGTATGATATTGTGTCTGGAAAACAGGAAAGAATAAGAATTCTATCAGCCAAAATTCTTTAAAAGCTCTAATTACAACTAAACATACGCTTACAAGCAGATGAGCTGGACAGACTTTGAATCATGTATCTTAAAGTAATTGGGTAAAAAAAAACCAAAACTAAATTTGCACAAATTTCCACTTGCCTCAAATGTAGTTATGGAGACCAACATTGACAAACACTGGAAGTCAATAGTCACTAATATTTTCCTTATAACTTCTCTCAACTAGCTCAACCTGCATCTGTGTCAGCATCAAGGTAGCACAGATTTGTCATTGTGGTTCAGGGCCCAATATTACTTACTGTGAACTATAAAAATGAACAAAACTTCACAGTGTATCTGAAAACTGTGGACAGTTATTTTAGGTAACTGGTGTTGAGCAAAAATCGGACTCTGTTTCGTGTAAATGTGCATAAATGTATCTTCTGTTAGAAAATTAAAATTTAAGTTATTTATAAACAGAAACTGTGAACATAATTTGTATCCTCCATATGCCTGCGAAAATGCAAAGGGGAGTCAGATTATAGCACATCTGTTGTCTAAAATCGCTGCCCCAGTGTGTAGCTACACTGTGATGTTTTATTCATTTTTTATGGTTCACTTCATCACACTGTGCTCCAAACCATATCAAGTCCATCTGATCTTAATGAAGAATGACAAAAGGATGACAAAAGTTTTAGTGATGTATTTACAAAAAAGATTTGCGTGACTATTGACTTCTAGTGTTAGCAACTTTTCCCTAGTAGCTAAACTAAAGATGCAAAATGTTACACTGAACATGTCTTGGCAGATGGACTACATCTAGGGTAAGTGTGTAATTTTGATTTTTTATGTCTTTAAATGATATAACGCAGTCTTAAAATGAACTGATTCTTTTGGCTGGCTTGTTTATTTCTGGACATACCTCTTCCCTTCATGATGTAATCAATGGCCCGATCATTGATGGCAGCATCGCTGGGTTTGATATCCAGAAAGGGCTTATTGCCCACTCCCATGGACACCATCTCCTGCATACGGATCTCTACACACACAAATTGAAAATCACACAAACTTGGCCAGCAAACTTGAAAAAAGAAGTGACTCCTATCAGCTTTCAGAAATCAGTCATTTATTACATAAAATATACTGTGCTAAGCCAGATTGTGAACTCGAGATGCTTTCAAAGGCCTAATGATTTAGATTTCCTTGACTCTTACAGATGCCACATCAAGCTGTAGTAAGACAATACAGGTGTGATTTCAATGAGGAGTGTTTTTAAAAGCCCGTTCCTGCAGGCCTGGAGTGACTACAGCTACAAACACAGAATTAATTATTACCAAACCTGCTGAGGTGCTAGGAAACAGGAGACCTCCTACACAAGACTCTCTCTCTTTTATTCATTCATTCTTTTCATTTGATGACTTGACAAAACCTCCACACACATGACAGCTCAACTCTTTTTCACACATGTACAAACACACACACACACACCTTTGTTCCGTGTGGCCTGTTGCCACAGTATACGGGCGATGTCTGAGGTCCAGGCTTGTTTGACTTCGGCCGTAGCAGCCTGGAGGATGTAGGTTTGGTTTTTTGATGTTCTCCTGCGGAACCAGACCTCGAAGCGCAGCCCACTTTCACCTGAGGTCTCGGTCATCCCCACATCTGCAGTCTACAGCAGTAGGAGAAACATATTCATGAAATATCAGGAGAAATGGTCACTGTGTGTCTCGTCACAGAAGGTTATTTTTGGTTTGGGGTTTGTAAAAACAAAACTACTACCTTTCTGAGCTCTCGGACTGTTAAGATAATCTACACAATATTAAGCATTTGGGAAGCTAGGCCCCAGGTAAGAAGCAAGCGTGAACAAAAATTCCACTCGGACCTAGATAAAGTTAATGAATCTTGTGGCCAAAATGTAAAAGTTTATGACCACAATAATAGAAACATGTTTACCAAATATACATTGTATTTACAAGCATGTTGTTTCATTACCCAGAAATAGTCAGGTGGTGTTTTGAAAAAGAAACATTATTTAGAACTATGCTGTGGTGACCATGGTGGTCCTCCCTGCCAATCTGATCTAGGTAATGTCAGCTCATTTTATATGAATCTGATCTCAGCGGTTATAGTTAAAGAATTCTGACAAAATCTGAATTGTCTAATCAATTTTGTATCCAACTAAACAAGTTTGTTAAAATGAAAAATGCAAAGAAAAAAAAAAGAATGCATCTTTAAAGCAAGTGGCCACTCAGGCTACAGGCTCTGCATTCTAAGATGCCAAATATGCATACAGGGCCAGCGGGCAATGGGCAACATCTGCCCCTGCTAAGCCAATTCCAGTCCTAAAGTCTGCAGGCCGCACAAATTTTCCAGATCACACGACCACTAAACCTGATAACTAACTGCCTATTTGCGCAAATACATCACACAGAAACATACAGGCATAGTTTACCTTAAATGAGTGTTTGTATATGTACACGTCAAGGCCTCCCTCGATGCGTTTGGGTTTGCTAAACAGCACCAGGTCCTCAAACAGAAATACGTGTCTCTGGCATTTCTTCCTTCCGTACCAGATGGTGAACTCATCCTGCCGCACCAACTGCCCCTGTTCCTTCAGATTCACCTGAGACAGAGAGAAGAGTTATATCAACAAATTTCAGAATAATGTAGATTTCGATAAAAAAAAAAAAAGTACCCTGCGTGTAGACCACGTTATTCTAATGAGATGCAGTATTATGCAGTATGAGAATGTTCATAACATGACTACAGAAATAAGTACACACTGCTTTGAAAATCACTATTAATATAAAACATTAAATTAATTTTGTTGAATTGTGCACATGAATAAAAAGATTCTATTATGATGATGCTACTTTACAACTTCATATACTTCAGCTAATTTTGACTGAAATTTAAATGTGTCCAGTAATGATGAATAGAACTGTGGAAGACTGCATAACATTGAGATTAATAACATCCAGAATGCCTGGTCTTTGAAAAGTGGTGATCAAATTTCAGGCAGCTAAATCCATAATAATTGGATAAGATTAATAATAAAATACTAATAATAATAATATACATAATTTAAAACTTCAAATTTAAAAAGAATTACTGTATACGTTATTATTGAATAAAATAACACCAATTACTAATATGACAAGTGATTCCAAACATCTGAACTGTTTTGGGAGCACTTGGATTGAGTGTGATAAGTGTACGTGACTCACATCGCAGTCACGGATGGCATCCATGGCGAGCAGGTCGTTGCCGTGGCGGAGCTGGAACTTGACCATTTCGGCAGCAGCACGCAGGTAGGAAAGCTCCTGCTCCTGAGCCTCACTCACCTCCTTAATCAGGTCCTTGAGGAGCAGAGCGTATTTACTCATCCTCTGAATGGGCTTCAGTAGGTAAGAGGCCAGGTCCATCTTATCCTCCAGCTCCAGCTGCTTATGCTGGAGAGAGAGAGAGAGAGAGAGAGAGAGAGAGGGAGAGAGGGAGAGAGAGAGAGAGAGAGAGAGAGAGAGAGAGAGAGAGAGAGAGAGAGGGAGAGAGAGAGAGAGAGAGAGAGAGAGAGAGAGAGAGAGAGAGAGAAGCATAAGACACACACACGCACAAACAAAGTGGAGCATCAGTGTGTTGATGTGTATGCAGTGGTCCACTCACCCTAAAGAAGCTGTTGCCATGGCTGGCCAGCAGTGCATCAGACTTGGGCTTATTCTTGCTGTATAGGGCGTACAATCCAAACTGGTCTTGCTGCAAAATTACAACAGAAAATCCAAAATCATTACTAGGGATTCATAAAGCAAGATATCTCACGGTGGATAACTAAACCCCTAAAATGGCCAGAGGGTTTCAAGGGTTAAACCCAGAGTCATGCACAGTCCAATAGGAAGGTTGCTGACCTCCAATTATACAGGCTTGACTTCAAACTTAGATTATCTGGCTAACTTAGAAATCCCACTTGGTGAAATATATATTTGCCAATCCAGTTCAGCGTTTCAAACCCTGTGGAACAACCTGTCACTTTTCATTGGCCAGGAAATGTTGAATGGAGTGGAACAGCCGTTCATTTTCAGTTTTATTTGGAAGGCGTTTTTCTGTGATACGGTGCAAACTGCTTTATAATGTGTTTTACATTCATTTGACACGCGTGGTGCAGCTTTCGCTGTGCCAGGAATGTGTCAGGTAATTTTAGACCCTGAGATGAAGGCTCTGCTGTAGGTCGAGAGAGTCTCCCGCACTGGCCTTCACTGAACACTGATTTTTTTTCTCTCTCAAACACTTCATGCATACCAAACCTTCCTGAATCATGGTGCTCCGAGAGGGCCACAGCTTTTGGATGACCGCAAATATGATGGACAGGATAAAGGAGAGACTATACTGGGGCTACACTCACTAAGCAGTTCAGTGCCTGTTTCATGTAGGTTACTTTGATTTCTACTTAGAGGTTGAAAAAAGAGGGAGATGTGGAGAATTTCCGAATGTTTTTTTACAGTTGTTCTCTGTAATATCTAAACAATATCCTTAGACCAACCTGGAAGTACCTAGTCTGAGAAATGTGTCAATACAGTCAGAATGTGTCAGTTTTGCCTTTCACATCTAAACACAAACATTCAGACAGATGGGAGATATCAATCAGCAGTCCTGCACTGAAACGTGCTATACAGTGCTGCAGATGGTTCTTACATGGCGCAGGAAGCAGTGGCTGACGCGCAATGGGTGGTTACAGCAGCTCTCCAGCTCCTTGAGGAAATACTGGCTGTGGAAGTCCACCAGCTTCTCCAGGTTGCCGAAGATGACGCTGCGCTTGCCCCGCAGGTCCTGAGGCAGGTCGGGTCGCTCCATCTCAGGAAAGTAGTGATCGATGATGTAGCGGAGGGAGCGCACATACTCGCGCTCCGTTGTCACCATCTCGTCCACGATGTGCCGTAATTTACTGAAAGAGAGAAAATGAATGACGATGCATTACTAATTCATTAAGAATTAAGTTAAACTTAAATGACTGTTCAGCAAACAATGTACTTTACATAATTTACTCCAAATGTAGTTGATCAGCCAAGACATGTTTTGTGTGCCAAGTGTGCTTCTTCAGTTTTGCACTTAAACTACGAGGGTAATTTAGCTGGCAAGTAATGGAAGCTTACATCCCACCAATCTGCATTATGCAAACCACATGCCTAAATCATCATACGCTTGCCTCAAACCACTTATCCCAAGCTAACTCATCAGCTGCAAACTAATATGCCAGTCATGATACAATAATACGATACACTGTGATGCAGTTTCATACAATACGATACGCAGCCAAACAATTCGATACAATACAATATGGCTCAAAACGCTTGGAGGAGAACGTTAACTGCTAATTCAGTTATGTCCGCTAAATGATGCTCACATTGGCTAGCACTAAGCTGAGTGATGGAGGGAAAGGGAAGTGGCATCCTAACCACTTAGAGAGAGAGACAGAGAGACAGAGAGACAGAGAGAGAGAGAGAGAGAGAGAGAGAGAGAGAGAGAGAGAGAGAGACCTTGGACCTTCAGCCACAGAGGGCTGTGGCATCACTGGGAGAATGTGAGATCGGCCAACGCTTAGATGGGAGACCAGCAGCAATTAAAACCTAGACTGTTTAGCTAACAATAAATCAGAAACCTCTTAAGTCTATTTGACATTACCCACCCTCTCAAGGCAGTCTGAGGCAAGTGTGTGATGATTTAGACATGCAGCCTGCATGATTCTAACAAGTGTAGTATAAACTTCCTTTACTCGTTATACCTGTTAGCCTTGTACTAAACTACAGAGGTAGGCTTCAGGCACCACATCTTGGCTGATCAACTACATTCCTGGTAAAGGCAAAAAAAAAAAAGTCTAAACTGCTTCACATTCAATTTTGAAATTTCACCCATGCCTTTTTCCCCCCAAACAAGTCATAAGACTCTACTAGCGAAGTGATGCATTAGCACTTCAAGCAGAGGTCAGCAAACTGACTACCCTTGAGCATCTCCTTCCCAATTTTGGAGTGGCTGAAGCTCTAAGGCTTCTCTTTAGCCTGTCAGTTTGGTATGAACAGTAAAAACACCTGAAAGCAATGCTGTATGGGTGGATCTTCTGTAAGCCAGAGTTATGATTCATAACCACACGCATTCAGACTGGAATTACTAGCACTGGGTGGTACTCCTAGCATATGAACGGTGCATGTGTTTATATTTCTTTGCATGGATGTACAAGTGTGTGCTACTGGGTACGTGCCTGCATTATCTACTCTAGCGTGTTATCGGTGTGTTGTGAATGGTGGTTGCCAGTTTCAGTCTACAGACTGTGATCCTGCATGTTTTGAGTAGAGCCAACTGCAATGCATAATGGAATACACACATACCCATACACATACAAACACTCCAGCACAGCAGAACTGTGGATCACACCAAACAACTTCAATCAATTTGAAAAAGGTTTTAGCTGGTTTTATTTAAAGGCTGTATTCATTTAGCCCTTACTCTGCCTCTTTGGCTGAAGTGCTGCCATGCCTTGCTTCAGTGTACTAATTTTTCCCCTCAATGCAGTGGGAGGGGGTAAGCTGTGTTTGATTGGCTGTTAAACATCCATTCCGATGGACAACAGGTCTCAACTGGTGTTATGTGCAGCAAAGCACAAAATAAAAAAGAAAACATGTGATGTCTATTGCAATTAATGCAGGTCTGAAACCTAAGATGGCTGACGATGTGGTCTGTACCAATGAAATAATCTTCTTATTCAGATAACCGTGTGCACAACAACCACAGTAACGGGTTAAACAGGGTTGAGGCTTAAGGTTCAACTCACATCTCAGAATTACTGGAAGAAAATGTTTTTCTTTTATTAGTACCATTATTATCTCCTAAGTACACCTGCTGATGCTTCCAGGAATATCACTGATGTTCAACCAGTGCAGCGCAACAGACATGTTTTTAGAACAATTTCATCTATGCTACGTGCAACAAATGTGGTATTAATGTAGGATACCACACAACATCTATAAAGGTTAAATTATGTCCATGTGTGGGAATCTTAGTATCTTGCTATGGTTTAAATAATAAATCAATAAATAAACAACTGGTAAATGACTTTTTATCATTTCTGGGGGCTGTTACCATAGTAACTTGATTAACCGTCACTGAGCACAGGCCTTGTCTGGAGTCCGGCAGAAGACTTCACGTCTAGGTCCATATACTCTATGGGCCTCTCCCTCATTCCCTCCCACCCTCCTCTGTGCTAATAAATGGCTAAAATGGCTTGGCCTAATTTCTGTGGTGTGTAAAGCAGCAGAAGACAAACGCTGCACATCAAAGCTGCACCACTCTCATCTGCGAGAGTCATCAGGGGCTGTGTTTTATCTCAGGAGGGTTAACAGGGGGCACAGGGCCCTCTCTGGAAAACACATCACTGCCTGATAGAGGGGGACTGATTACGGGGTCGAGAGTAAAGACAGACAGACACACACACACACACACACACACACATACACACACACACATACACACACACACAAACATACACATAGCTTATAGATCCCAACATTCACATGAGGCACTCACACACATGACTGCAGTCTGCAAACAGCTGCTCAGCATGAGACAGTGTGTGTTTTGGCCAGGAACGAGGGGCAGATATGTCTGTGTGTGTATGCTGTCAAGGTGACAGTTGGCAGTGTGTGTGAGTGAGGGAAAAAGCTTGTAAAGTATCTTGGCCTGTGAGACACTGAGAGAACGAGCGTGAGAGGGAGAGTAATGTGTGTGTGTGTGTGCGCACATGGCAATGCTGTTATTCACCCTAAACGCTGCTATGGCTGGATAAAAATACTGTTTTAATGTTTAGCCGAGTCAGCGTCTACCTTTGTATAAGCTCATATTAGCACATTCATGAGTGCATCAGAATATGATTATGTAGGACTGCAAAAGTGTTACAGTAGTGTGTCCTAACCCTGGCACCTTTTTGTGCTTTCCCTGCTTCTAAGAGGAATTCCACCCATTCTTCAAAATGTTTGCATAATTAATTGGTACAAATGTAAGCAAAGTCATTTGAAGTGATCTGATGTGAAATGCTCGGTTCTAGAGAAACAATTTAAGAACTGTTCACAGGGTGGTGATAGTGATAGGAACCAGACGTCTGAAGTGTTTAATGCTTCTAAAAGCTACCTCATAAAAGATTATCAACCTATTTTTAGACATTTTTATTTGCTTTAAGTCATTTTATCCAGAGAAACTGTCTTCTTGCAGATATTTTTGCTTGGTTAAGCATTATTTCTTGAAACAAACAAAATTATCTGCCAACAGAATAAATTTAAGTAAAAACATCTAGAAATAAGCTTGGTAATATTTTGTGAGCCATAATGAGACCCGTAAGATACAGACTTTTCCTGGGGTTGAAAAAGGCACTACAGTTCCTTCTTCAGGTTCAGGTCTTCTTCTAGGTTTCTTTTTCTTTATCTGTACATTCTGGTTTGATAAATGTAACACTGCAAGTCTGTCAACATTACCTGCAAGTAAGTATGCATGTATGAACAGCACGCAATGTTTTTCAGAAAACAGTAAACTGTGCAAAAATATTGATGGGTTGGAAATCCTGAATCCTGGACTGAATACATTTAACAGAAAATCACAAAATAAAGTTAGCAGTTTATGCCATGGAAATTGCAAGGTCATGTATATGTGAGCTCCTACCTGCCCTTGGCACGTGGTTCCAGGACGGGGCTCCCAGCGCGGTGCGTATCCACTGACACCCAGCCATGAGCTGGGGTCAGCCGTGGACTATAGGGCCGGTCAGCCACCTCAGTACTGCTAACCTCCAGGCCCTTGATGAAGACCCCCGTGTTGCCCCTGCGGGCTGGCTCGCTTAGTGTTCGCTGGCACGTCCCGTACCGGGACCCCACCTCACTTCCTGCAGCGTCAAAGCTCTGAGTCTTTCGCAGAACTCTCCGGTTCGTTTCGCTCAGAGAGGAAAGACTAGGGCTGTAGGAGCAGGACGAACTCTGAGGCGACTCCTCCGAAGAGGTGCTGCGGGTTAGCCGGTGGGAGCTGAGGGGAGTTTTATGTGGAATCCGGTTTTCTAGGTGATAGGGACTTCCTGTGGGAGTCCTGACTGAGTCTTTTGAGTCCAGGCGATTACCAACTGGACTGCAGGGGGTGGAGGAGGAGGTGCTGGACTGGAAGGAGAATCTTTCACGAGCCCAGCTGCTGCTGAAGGCCTTCCTGCAGGAGAAGGACAAGCTGCTGCTTCGCTCCTGAGGCTTGGCACAACCGTCTGAGTGTCTGCGAGGGGTGCCAGTAACTGACCTTGTCTCGGTCTGCTCACTGGGCAACGTGCGGCGGGCACGGAGTGCTGCTTCCAGCTTCTTCTCAAACATCTGCTTAGTCTCCTGACACTTGGACCAGGCAAACTTCCACTGCTTGAGGCCCTGCTCGCTCTTCAGCTCCCCAGCCAGGTCCTTCATCTCCTGGAAGCGTGTGTCCGGGATGGGAGGGTGCTGGCTCCGATAGCTCTCCAGACAGGCAATCACGCTCTGGCATTTCTCGGGCATGCTGCAGTCCTCCATAGTAACACAAGCCAAGTGCCTCATACCTTCCAGAGCCCACTCGTATGCCTGGGAGAAACAAAGAGAGCAAAGAAAGAAGCAATCAACCATTACATACTGAGAGTAGGGCTGCAACAATTAGCAAAATCAATTCATTGTCAGCAATGCTGACCAGTTAACTCATTGTTTACTTAACCCTTTAAAGCTGACAGAAAAACTGTCTTTTTCTGCCCTTTCTGCTAATAACATGATTTCTCAGTGCTTTTGTTGCACTTATTTTGATATACAAAGACTGCAATCTAATAACCTCAAAAATTAAGTGCACGTTTTATTCAGTTTGTGCCAAGCACTATCTGGAACACAAGAAGAGGAATATAAGTCACGCATCTATTGTGCTGATTAAACAAAATAATAATGAGAACTTGCTTGTCCAAACTGCACTTTTGCACTTGGCCCTCCAGGACCAGGCTGTGATAAGACAAAGCAATAGTCAACGACAGAAGGCATAATGGTTTGATTAACAAAGTTTGGAAACCACACCGTGTGACTCACTGCTATTGCCTGAGGCAGCGACGAGATGAGAAGAAAGCACAACGGCTTGTTAGCGAAGAGACAAGCGGAGAAGAGAGTCTGAAAGGCAATTCTCTGTCCTGCTAAGGAAGGCTCTATGTGGCTGTGTCTGAGGAAATCTTTGTGAAACAGGGAAAACAGAAGGAGAATGAAGATGAGTGAAACGAAGAGAAAGATAGTGAGGAAGAAAATGAAAGAAAGAGAGAGTAAGAGAGTGAGAGAGAAAGAGACACTCCACAGCTCTTTGATGTAAAATAAAGAGGATATGGAGGAGCTGGGAGGTCTAGGCAGTAAGGCTTTAACACATCAGCAGCAGGAGAGCTAATGGGTTTAGCACTGTGAAACAGCACTCTGCAGTTAAGACACAGTTTCCCTTAATCACTATAGCACTGCCTGTCTCTCAAACACTCCCTCATTCTCATATAGTCCCTCTCTCTCACTCCCATGCACTGAATCACATGTTCTGTCTCTCCTTAGGCCTGGCTCACTGTCGGTCCCGTTATAAACTCCTATAACACAGTCCTGCTTGTGTTGGTGAGGATTAAGGCCGTTCAAACATTCACTCATGGTCCTTTGACACGACAAAGCTCTGTCAGATTCCTGAAGAAGGAGACAAAACCCTTCATCCCCTCTCTCTCTCTCCAAATACTCAAAGTCCTTTTTCCCCTGTAGGGCTTTTCCTGGTTGTTAGCTGACATCTTATGCTTCTCCAGGCTTTTTTTGCCTCTCTGGCGAAGTAAGACTACAGTGTTTTGCGTCTTGAAGCTCTTTTTTCATTAGACGTTAGTAAATCATCCTGAGCTGGCACATATGCTCTCTGTGTGCACTCTGAATAATAAAAGATTAGAAATGATTTTAAAATTTATTAGGAATTTCATCAAATTTCATAAATTTTCAAGATGTAAATAAAGTCATTCACAGTACTTTGATGTGAAACGCGCCAAGACACTTGCCCAGTCAGAACTTTTCACAGTGGTGGTTATAAGAACCAGAGTGTTTCAGTGTCTATAATACTTCCTTGCAGAAAGTAATTACGAGAATTGGTAATGAACACATTGCCTAATGCCTGAGATACTGTTTTACAATAGTTTTGAGATAATGTTTTGGCCTAAAAGTCTATTCATAAAGAGGTAAATGCAGGGCATTCTAAGGCAAAACAGCACCCAAATCATTTTTTGAGATTTATGTTTTCAGATTTTCTTCTTTTTTACCTTCATCAATATTACAGATGATGTGTAGGTTCACCGTTCATTATGGATAGCAAATAAAATATTTGCATAGATACCATAACACCTGGTTCCTATAACCACCATTGTAGCTTCTCTACAAAGCCTCACTTCAAACCACTCTGAATAACTTTCACATCTCAACAATTTATTTATGCAGAAATTCTACTAAAACCATACATCCTAGCCAAGAACCATTTAGAAACCCTGATTTTTAAGGGTGTGTGTGTGGCCAGGGCAACACTGTAGCCACATACCAGCGTTTTGAGACCCTCAGCACCCAGATACTAAAGTCACCCAGCAGACCAGAGGTCAGTTCAAACTAACAATACACACTGCTAATGGCTGACACAATAAGAGAAAGAAAGAGAGAGGAGAAATAATTGATGACTGTGATTGGAACACATGGAAGGGATTCATTCCCAAGACATATTTTTCCAAAAATATAAAAAATGATTTTTTTTCTACAATTGTCATTGTTTTAACACATTTCCCACCATCATTACATTCCTAAGAAACGGAAACTGCCCTTATACAGAGCCATGAGGAACTCCATTAGCTCCTGCCATAAAAAAGAACCAACTGCTCGCAGTGTCAAAGCCACCAAAAGGCTTTATAGAGGCAAAGAGGTCATAGCCTCGAGGGAAACTGTCTTTCACGGCTTCCACTGATCTAGCACAGAGCATTTCTCCATTAGGGAACTCAAATTAAACACTTTATTTCAATGCAGCAATTCACTCTCTCTCTGATCTCCTATTTGATGCTTGTAATGCCATGGACAGGCTGAAGATGACATCATAGTTGAGAGTGCTTATGGTTCTTTGAAGTGTGAATGGTGTGTATGCATGTGTGTGTGTGTGTGTGGTAGGAGTGTTTGATTGGTGAGAGCTAGAGGAGGCGCCTCTAAAGGCCCCACTATTCAACCAGGCACAAAAGAGAGAGAGGGGGAGAGAGAGATACAGAGAGACAGTGAGAGAGAGAGGCTTCAAGCCTTTGTATGCACGCATAAATGAAGCTCCTGCAGCATTAGGGGGTCGAGGGGATGTTTTAACACTTGAAAGAAATCTTCTTTATTATTTCCTTAAAAATGAAAGAAAAGACAGAAAAGGAGGAAAAGTAGGGAGAGGATTTAGGACAACGGCCAATTTCTGATCTCATGCTCAAGTCATGCCAAGAATGTGTTTTTCTCAAAGTGTATGTGTGTGTGGTATGTACATCTTTTCAAACAGGGCACTATGCACACACACACCACTTTAGCTTTGGGAATTCCTCCAGGAGTTACTAACTCACCATTCCCTGAGTGCTTGAGAAAGTGGGTCCAACTTTAAAAGATCACATGATTGTTCAGTGGAGTTCTGTGCATTCACACCGTTAAAAACCCCAGTGTGTCTCCATCAGGATGTAAAGTAGATCCCTAAGCCTCTTCTGCAGCTCCAGCAGGAGATCAGAGCCTGTTATTCTTAATTTAAATATCACACTCTGCTTTCCAGATGGGTTGAAATGTGTGATTGATAACAGCAATGACAGGGTGAAAATGAAAAAATGTTGAAATGAGTAGAAAGAGGGCAGAGGGTGTAAGAGGTGTCGAACATCTTTAAAACAGCCTACAGGTGCGCGATATGGCTACAATGTAATATCAGGATACACAATATATCCCAATATTTTCTGACATTTGCCGAGTTGAAACAAATAATGTAGGGCCACATTTAAAATTACTATCCAAAACTACAAACACAATGCTTTGTGCCACACTAAATCGAATTAAACAGGACTAATTATGCAGTCAAACATGCAGTTGGGAAGTGTTTTCAAAGACTGGCAATGTCCATGATATGCTCAGAAAAGCATCAAAAAGCAAAGTCATATTGCCCAGCCCTAACACCGCCCTTGTATACTAGGGGTAAACAGTCATTCGGGCCACCAAGCCAATAAATCTTGTAGCCAAAAATGAGAAACTCTGGCCAGAATGTTTAAAACGTTTACAATATACAAATTAGATTTATAATAAAGAAACACACTTCAGTACTGAAAACTAGGTGGGTGTTGCTTTTTTTTCTTTGAGAAAAAAAAAAAAGAATATTAAAAACTTTCCAATAATAACAACATTGCCAACAAGATAGCTATCATGGTGGTTACAGTTGGCAAATTCTGACAAAATGGATTTGATGCAGTTAGATTCATATCTGACCAAACAGGCACCGGGTTTCACATGGGAAGGTGAAAAATAGTGATTTTGTTATTAAATAGTGGATATTTGTGTGGTCTGTTAGTTTATTAAAAAGGAAAAAAAAATAAAATAATAAAAAAAAAATCCAAGGCAAGTGACTACTCAGGCCACAGGTTCTGCATTCCTAGTGACCAAAATGTGAAATGTTGTGACCAGAGGACCCAAGGAATAGGCAATGTCTACCCCTGTTGTATACTATGATAGTAGTGATATGTGTGTTTATTCTTCATCTCAACTCATCTTAGTATTAGTTATTTAATCGTATATTACAATTAGGTTTGGAAATAAAAACTGAAATAAACTGTGCATTTACACTTTCGCTCAGCATGTGAAAGTCAGGATACAGGTAGTTGCAGCTCATGTTAAGTGAACATTAAGTGAAATTGTTTATGTACAGTTTAAATACGTTACAAATTTGTATAGTGGTATGACTCCATGTTGGTCTATTGTTGTAAATTTTAAAGTCATTATCTTCTTGATGTTTATGCTGGCTATTAGATTTATTACAGACTCAACAGGCTACAGAGTTTTGTATTTGTTTTATTTGGCATTGTATGGACTACAGACAAAGTTTGTTGGAACTTCTTTAAAAATCTTAACAGCTACTTGTAATAAATGACTGTTAAAGCTTTTATGTTTTCATTTTTTATTCATAACAAGAGACAAGATTTTCTTGTTAGGAAATTATAACATTGGCCATCTTTTTTAAAAGTGAATTCTTAAAGGTTAGTGTCTGATTTAAAACATTAAAAGATATTTAAAACAATCAAGTTTAAAGTGTAGTCTTCATTCCTTCACATTCTAAGCATGTAATAACACCATGTCAGACACCATCTGGCATCTGACAGCGCAGACTAAAGGAATGCTAATAAAACGAAGGCAGAATTAGTCACTGCAACAGAGCTGATAAACAAAGATGGTGATTATGTCCTGCACCTGTATGATAAGTAGCCGGAGGCAGATTTGACACATTCAAGCTAATTTCTCTGATTACAAATGCCAACAATTTATCAGCCGACATAAACAGCAAAGTTGGTTAATGACCA